AGTTCATATGATAGAGCAGCAGTAAGTTTGGGACCCGAAGTAACTTGTATGCCAAATAGATCTACAACATTCAAACCTTCTGTAGTATACATAAATACAGGGCCACCTATATCTTCTTTAGCGGTTTGTATATCTGTAATTATCAAACGTTCAGATTGTCTTTTATTTTCATCCCAATAAAATCCATTAAAAGCTTTTATATATCCACAGATAACATGCGTACCAAACCCTGAATGGCATATGTGATCTCCAGGGATAGTTTCACTTTCTTTTTTAGTATCATATATACGTAGCTCTTGATAAAGTTGATCTCTTATAGTTGGTAACCTTTTAATTTTGGACTGACCTGTCAACTCGATTTCAGCAAAATTATATGGATTCACAAAATTCCGGAGAAACATGGTACCCACAGATTTCACTTTAGAGAAAGCAGGATTCGAATTCCATGGCCGATGATAAAATTTTTTTCCTAGGGTAGGGTCTCCTCCTTCAATGCAATAATTTCTTTCATTTATGATATAAGTTCTGTAATTACCAAAGCTATTTCTTTTGTTAGAACGTACAAAAAAACTAACGGAACATGTTTTTCTTTCTGTTTGAAATATATGAAAAATACCATCACCAGCGCTGATTGTTACTCTTATTTCTGCTGTAAGATTTCGTTTATGTAGTTCCTCGCTTGAACCAGGATTTTTGCCATTTGTTGTTTTGTTAGGTGGACCCCGAAAGACTTCATTATTACTTATATCAATATAAACATAATGGTCTCCTGACGAAAATAGTTTTGCTGCATTGACCCAATTATTAGATCCAGTTTCCAATTCATCTAGGGATTTATTCACCCTATAAAATATCAGCAAATTTCTATGTGGATCCAGTACAGGTAAATTTTTTTTTTTTTTTTTTTTTTTTAAGGTGAGGTTTTGCCTTTATCTTTATTAATAATTTGTATTGAGAATCCACTATGGGTTCCTCTGGCCGGAGCCAATTTACAAAAATTTTTACAAGAATAAAACTCAAACTACCAGAAACTATCTAAACTAGAAATTCTGATTCATCTGTAACCTAAACCTACTAGAGTGGTTAAACTCACCTAGATTTGATAATATAAAATATTGTTAGTTGGGGTACTATATTTAATCCATGTAATAGTCCATGAGGATATTTTTCTAATTGCTTTGCCAAGAGGTGGACAAGTGTTATTGTTGTGTTGTTGGTCTGGCAGACCACAAAGGCAACTATAAGTGTATGATATTCTATATTGTGTTGTGTTTTGAGTAGTTGTTGTGTGGATATTTGTTGTATTACGGTTAGGTCTAGAGACTATATTGTTTTGTTGTTTCTATTGTGTGAGTTTAGAACAGTATGGTATCCATAGCTGATCATGTATGTTTTGTGATAGTTATTGAAGTAGTTGAATAGTTATTTTTGATGTGATTTGAGTAGAGTCTGTATACTCTTTTATAGTTTGTATTATGGATGTAGGGATAAACTCTTGTATAGTTGTATATAGATTAATATTATTATACTGGTGATTAAATGAAAAGCTTGGGTGGTTTATAAGCTTGGTTTGTAGCTTATATAGTTGTATATAAGTAATATCTAGTCTGGAGTGTTGAAGGAATTATTGTATAGTATTGGTGATAAGTGTGTTTAGTTTAGATATATCTGGGCAGATGAGCCAGTGTTTCTGACTTTCTCTTGAATTACATGTTATACAGATGTCTGTTGGGTATAGTGTATGTTGGTGTATTAAAGTAGTAAGCGACTTAAGCATTAGTTTAATCTTGAAAGTTTTTTGCTGGCATAATTTAAAGTTGGTATAGGTAGTTGATCTTTTTTAGTTGTTATTTAAATATAACCAGGTTGCATTCCAATTAATTTGAGGTGATATGAGTATAATATTATCCATTTGGTGTTGAGATGACTACATTGCTATAATATGGGCATTGCATATGTTTTTAATAGATCTGTGAGTAGGTTGTTCAAATGTATACTGTTCATATTGAATTTGGTAAGATGGGTTATGTGTATTGTTATTTATAAATTGAAGTGTAGTTAGATAATTAGCATTTTTGGCTAGTCTGTCAGCTAGGTTGTTGAAGGTATTATCACTATGTGCTGTGACCTTTTCAAGTTGGATGTTGAGCTTGTAAGCTTTAATCAAGTTAAGTAGAGTATGCCATATTGGCCAATAGTTATAGGAGTATCTTTTGTT